GTGTGGGTGCTGTATGTGTGTTGGTGGGTGATTGTGGGGGGTGGAGGTGGGGGTACATTATTTGCTATCCCCCCTCCCTTCTTACCTTTTGTAGGGAGGGGGGATCGTGCTGCTGCTTCCTTCCCTGGTGGTCCAGTGGAGGAGGGGATCCTTGCTGCTGTGATCCCTGGTGGTCCAGTGGAGAGTGAACTCTAGCCCCCATATCTCGCGAGAGGAACCCGGCGGAGCTGCCGGCAATAGCTCCGCCGGGTCCTCTCCTGCCTCCCTCCCTGCATGTGGGTCAGTGGGGAGGGAGGCTGAGAGCAGAGCCGGCGCTCGGATAGCGCCGGCTCTGCATGAGCCGACAGGGGAGATCCTGAGATCTCCCCTGCCGGTCTCAATACACATAGGCGTGCCGCGGGGATTAGGGTGTGCCCAGGCACACCCGGCACACCCCGTGCGCACGCCTATGTAAAGGAGGAGGACTTGTAATTTTGAACACCTCACACTATAAGAAGGAAAATAATAGATTACTCAGTGATGATGAGCGATATTACCTACTGGTAAGCAATCCTACTGTTAAGTTTCTGGAAGAATTATGTGAATTATGTAACAAAAGAGCGTATGAGTATTTATTTCTTAAACATCCTAAAGTACCAGTCTTTTATCATTTGCCTAATATTCAAAAACATCCTACCACACTCCAGATAGATTCATTATCTCTGGATTTGTTTTTTAACCTCCAAACATTCAGAATATGTGGATAGATTTTTGCAAACTCAAGTAAGAAATCTAAAGTTCCACTTACTGGATGCTACTTAAGTTATCAAAATCTTGTTGGAGATTAAATGGGAAGAGGATTTTAGTCACTGCAGATGTGACATCGTTATACACAGTAATTTAGCGCCTCCAAGCTTGTGAGGCCATGCGATACTCACTGGTGATTTATTCGGATCTTAAAAATGACCAAATTGGGGGCGGGGCCTGACCGCTGAGCATTACGGATGCAGGTTAGGACTGCTCCTGCTCCAAGTAGCAAATATCTTGCATAAAAGCCATAAACAGATCTCTACAGAACCACAAGGGCCACCAAATGGGAGCTGATTGCAGGGGCTACACAACGATACCACACATGCAATATATCCTGCAGGAACCCCAGGAGGAAACCCCACGGCCTATGAGCATGGTCGGCACGGGGGAGATGGCCGCTCTACCGTCGCTTTCACTGGCTAACCTCTTGAACATGGGCCTTTGTCCTCTCCCCTATGGACCGGAGAGGGTTATCCCGGTCTCAGGAGGGCCCCCCTGGGCGCGGTGGCAACTAATCCAGTCGAGACCTGCTGGCGGTGACTGAACCGGAGCCACCCGTTGCAACACAGGGGATCGACATCCTAGCATGGCTGGAGGCCACATTCAAGGTATTCTGGACCAGGCAGGAGAAGAAAATGGCTGTGGCTCACACTCTAGCCGAGCACCCACTAAAAATGCAGACAAGACACTCACAGCCCAGAAGCAGGATACGCAAATAGCGGCAAACCAGAAAATGGCGCCGCAGACGGCACTGCACCTTGAGGCCTCATAAACCCACGGGAGGACTGCACCGGAAAGTAGCCACTACCCTGCGCAAAACGCAGCTAGAGCCATCCAAGCCTACCTACAACACACAGCTAGCATCAGAAAAGATGACGAACCTACACACCTCACCGACCAAGCTCCAAACCACACCGACAGACAGCCCGGATCACTACCTGATAAATCAGTCAGCAGGACTCCCAAGTCAGAGACCGGGAGAGGACCAGCTACACTCCAAGCGCAACCGGCGAGCCTCCAGAGCCGGCATCGGCTGAGCAACGACTGCTACAACGAGCAGAGGCACGGGAGAATGATAATCTGTGACCCAGAGTACGATACCCACCTTACCGGACTAAGGACTACTCTGCAATGGTAACGGGCGACAGCCTGTAGATAACATTTTATTTTGTCAGCCCCCATCCTGGGGAACAGAGTTGGACTTAATTGGTCTACTCACTACTGGCAATTGAAACACACGTGGCAGCATTAACACATTGCCTTACCACTGGACTGTACTCTGCCCACGGAGGGTGCAGGCTGAGCGAGGCTGCATGGTGGGACTCTAGACTGTTGACTCTTTCTTCACCCAATAGCTTATTATTTAATTTAGTAATTCTAGACAGGCCTGCTTACTCATAATCACTCATAATTTTATTTTATCACCAACTGCCTGAACGTATACCTCTTTATTTTAAATGCCTCTTGCAAGCATTATCTACCTACCCTAAATGCCGTTGGCTCGACCCCAGGGGTCAATGCAATAATCTTGTTTACCTCGGATGTAATCAACTAACTAATACTTAAACAAGGCCAACTGCGCGATACTTAGCATGTATCCAAAAAGTCACGACACAAGTAATAGCAGTTGTGCCCTGTTGTGCATGTTACTCAATCTTAACTATTACCTAAGCGACCTTATTACTAGCAATGTTTTGCCTATTTTATCTGACCTACCTAAGTTGCGATTACGCTCCACAAAAGTTAATTTGTGAATAATCTTGATCAAATGCATACTAACTATAAAAAAATGTGCAAGCTCTAACATACTCCTGATCGTTATAAATGTTTTGAAAAAGCATGGGGAATGCTGTTGGGGTACCCCAGGCATGTTGTTCTCTTATATGCACTACAAAAATAAAGAATAAAAATAAAAAAATTACCAAATTTAATTTTCGGTAAAATATGTGGAGTTCATACTTAGTCATAACATTTGTTTGGAACAATGTTCAATTTTATTTACCAATTCAGGGCATGCCATGGTAAATAAAAATGAAAATTTTTTATGGGAAAATGGGAAGATGAATTTATCTGGAATAATTGAATTTTTGGCACATATCTAGCTCTCTGGTGAAGGTATATAGATGACTGTATTTTATTCTGAAAAGGAAGTGAAGAATTTTTAGAGTCTTATAAGGAGTTTTAAAATTTTAATCCTTACATTTGTAATTTACTTTTGACCAATCGAAGAGCCAGATTGAATTTTTAGACCTAGAAATTTAAATTAAGAACAATTTAATTCAAACAAAAACATTAAAAAAACACAATATTGTGTGATAGTTTTATTACCGCTAATAGCCACCACAAAAAACCTTGGTTATATAATATACATATTGGACAATTTAGAAGAATAAAAATGTATTGTTTTGAGTTCAAGATCTGCCTTCTCCAACTGAATGAAATTAAACAACAATTTCTGGATGAAGATTGTAAGGATAATCTCCTCAATAGGGCATTCCAAATTACTATTAAATGTCCCAGGAAGAAACCTTGATCAAGAAGAAAAATGAAAATTATGCTCCAAAAGTTTATAATATACAGTAGATATTCAAAGAAAATTAGGCCTTTTTTAAACAAGCAACAGAATGTTTTACAAGATGATCTGATCCTTAAAGACATAGCACAGAACAAATCTAAAAATATTTATTCTAGGGCTTCTAATCTTAAAGATCTTTTAGCTTCTATGGTGACGAATCCAATGTGACAGAAACTCCCATACCATGGCCTTTTGGAAAGGCTTAAAGGCCACGTTGCCACATTATATACACATTTTACATCCAGTTATTATGGTATTTTTACTCACTGTGTTTCTCATTTCATAACTTTTTTTTTAAATGTAATTTCTTACTCAATATATCTTCTGTTTTTGTGAAAAACTAGATATTACAATTTTAACGATTTTTATCCATTTGTACAAATAATTTGCATTATTAATTTTATTGATTTCACTCATTTACTATATATATATATATATATATATATATATATATATATTTATATAGACATTTTGTGAACCATTTAATTGTAATTTAAGGTTATTTTTAATTTATTTTTTATTTTTTATTTTTAGATTTATCTATTTTATTTCTATTTTACTCTATTTAGACTATGTACTTTTCCCATATTTTTATACACATATATTTTACATTGATTGCTTGCAGAGTTTTTTTTTCCTAACTAAAGCATTCAGGTTAAACCATTTTAAACCTTCCTTCTCTCTCCTCCTATACAAAGAATAATTTATTTTCTTATTTTATTTCCCTGATTTAAGATTTTATATTATTAGTATTGTTCACTTTCTTACTTTGTTTTATACTTTCTTTTATTAGCCTATTTAGCAGGTTTTTAAACATTTGCCACTTTTGTAAATAGATTGTTCAATGCCACATGTGTGAGAAAGTCTTATTTTAAATGTGATTTTTATAGTTATAATGTTAGGGGACTAAGACCCTTTAAATTTGTAAAGCCTTGTTGCTCTGATCTTAACTATTAATACGCAGAGGAGGTTTAGGAACTACAGCCTCTGAAGAAATAACCCGTGAGTTGCGAAACGTGTTAGGCAGAGTTCCTTATTGAGTGATGGACTGTGAGCTATCAGGTGGAGCTATGCGAGCTGAGTCAGAGGTCAAAAGCAGTCAAACGCAGCAGACCAAGCACCGGAACGCAAGTAAGTCCCGCACACAGGATTCCACAGTCTTTTCATCCCCTTCTGAAGAACTAGCCTCATGGAGGGAGGACTTGGTGGTTTTAATGCAGGGACTGCGCTCCCAGGCTTGACCTAGAAATGTTATGCTTGTGAGTGATTTAAACATCTTACTAATAAAATCATTGTTTTAACATGGAACACTATGTTCGTTTGTATATTACTTTTCTAGAAACCTGATATAACGCTGAACTGTTTGGCTGATTTAAACTCCACTACATACCCCGTATGGAATTTCATGTATCTATAATTCCCAGATTTTACTAATAACATGACGTAAAGTCATGATTTTATTAATGACACGGAGGCTCCTATTATGCTATCTCTTTCTTACTTTATTCCTCAGCAGCAAAGAGAAATATAAAACTGAAAGAGAAAAAATGTAGATATGAAATATAATAACAGGTACAACCAGATCTGCCTAGTAACAGGGCAGCCAATCAGATTAGTAGGAACAGTCCATAAATGTCTTGCTTAGTACTTCCACTTCCTCTTCTTTGCCTTCTGAACCGAAGACCCAAACCAAACTTCCACATCAGGAAAGAACAATCTCCAACAAGGTAGACGTCATCTTAACGAAATCAAGCTGTAAAACAGAGAAAAAGTAGGTAAAATCCAAACTCCGGACCTGCATGTAACATTTTATGACCATCTGGCTTGCAGGACTAAAAACGTCAAAATCGTAACCACATAAGTACATAGATCCAAATACGTCAAGTCAGAGAAAAAACTGTGAACACTTACCTTGAGGTAAAAGAACCCCCCCCCCCCGATTGAACCATAAGTATAGACCCAAACCATACCCACTGGGTGGGAGGGTGGGAATAATACTCGCCTCCGTGTCATTAATAAAATCATGACTTTACGTCATGTTATTAGTAAAATCTGGGGATTTTATTAATGACACGGAGGCTCCTATTATGCCAGTTTAAAGCTGAGCCACAACTAACAAAGAAACATGGTCAATCGGGCGGAAATAAAAGTCACGGAACGTAGATTCCCTAGACCAATCCGCTGCCTTCAAGATATCATCCAGACGACATCCCATCGTGGAGGCCTTAGACGCCATGGCGCCTCTGACCGAATGAGCCGAAAATATTTAAGTATCGATTCCTGCAGCGGATAGAAGATTCTTAATCCAACGAGCTAATGTAGTCGAGGAGATCGGGAGAAACGGTTTCTTAAAGGACCACTCTAGGCACCCAGACCACTTCAGCTTAATGAAGTGGTCTGGGTGCCAGGTCCTTCTAGGGTTAACCCATTTTTTCATAATTATAGCAGTTTCAGAGAAACTGCTATAATTATGAATGGGTTAAGCCTTCCCCCTAATCCTCTAGTAGCTGTCTCATTGACAGCCACTAGAGGCGCTTGCGTGCTTCTCACTGTGATTTTCACAGTGAGAGCACGCCAGCGTCCATAGGAAAGCATTGTAAATGCTTTCCTATGTGACCGGCTGAATGCGCGCGCAGCTCTTGCCGCGCGTGCGCATTCAGCCGGCGGGGCGGATCGGAGGCGGAGAGAAGGAGGAGAGCTCTCCGCCCAGCGCTGGAAAAAGGAAAGTTATTACCCCTTTCCCCCTTCCAGAGCCGGGCGGGAGGGGTTCCCTGAGGGTGGGGGCACCCTCAGGGCACTATAGTGCCAGGAAAACGAGTATGTTTTCCTGGCACTATAGTGGTCCTTTAAAGGAAATAAACAATTGGGATAAATCCGATGACCTCAATAGGTGAGTGCGATCCAAGTACACCCGTAGGCAAGCTACCGGACACAGAGCAGGTCGGACTGAACACCTAGGGTAGGCCACTGACTTAGAAGACGTCTTAGTCCTCCTAGAGATGTTAAACGACACTCCCTCGGGGGTGAAGGATAACGCGTTCCAGTCCAAAACCCTGACATCTGAAACCCTTTTGCATGAAAGGAGACACAGGAGCATAACCAATTTCCAATAATTGCTTCAGTGACAGGTCCTCATTAAGTGGCCATGATTCCAAGAAGTCCAGCACCACATTAACATCCCAAAACGATGAATACCTGGATTTCGGAGGCCTAGCGTAACGAATACCCTTCAACAAACGGCACACAAAAGGATGTTGCCCAATCGGTGATCCGTCAATACCTAGATGTCTGGCTGAGATGGCCGATCTATAAACATTGATAGTGTGATAGGCCAAACCAGATTCAAAACGCGTAGTCAGAAAACTGAGCACCTCCTTCAGAGGGGTAGAAAGGGGATCCAGCAGTCTCCCCACGCACCAGCCAGACCACACACGCCATGCAAACTTGTAAGCTGTTCTGGTACCCGGTGCCCAGTCAGGGCCTGTTGAATAGTGTGAATAGGGCCAGGGCCCTCTGCATAGTAGAATCAATAAGGGCCTAGAACTCCTGAGAGGGGGTGAGTCCCCCTTCACCTGAGATAGGGGCCTGAAAGGCTTCCATGGTAGGGTAACTGGGACAGCCAGAATCATCACCCTTAGCCTGCATGATAGACAGGAGGGCAAATAAGCTTGTGGGTAAAAAGGGGTATGTCCCTTTAAATATATGCAGACAAAAATTTTAAGCCACAAGAAATATTATGGGAGCCAGGCCACCAGTCTCAGAATATAACAGATATAACAGGATGATGGAACAAAACCTAAACTACACTATAGGGTTGAGTAACCCACAAAGCAAATACCTGTGGAGAAAACAAGGGGAAAGGGAGCCGACCGCCGGATCAGCCAGCAGCCACGTGCGTGAGTGAATATGGCCGTCGCATGCAGAGCATGCCGTGGCCCCAAAGCTCCTCCCCCGCCAATGGCAGGGGAGCTCGTGGAAACACACACGCGGCCGGAGGTAGAGCGGGTCAGAGCCGCACGCGGCCGCACACGCAGTCGCGAGGGGAGGAGGGAGGGCGGTCAGGGAGCACAGCAGCTCCCGAGAAAAAGCTTCCCCAGTGATCCGCGGTCCCTGCCTGTGCTCACAAAAGGTACAGCACAGGCAGGGAGTCTGCGCAAAGTAGGGGAAGAACAGAGACACCCAAAAGGGGGTGCCAAAAAAAACATCAAAACAATATACATAAATCATATAGGGTGCACTAAGCAGCATCCAAGTACATAATACAGGAAAAAATAATCAGTAAATAAACACATAGAAAACAATCCAAGATCAAAATATACAGGAGTGAAATTAATACTTAGCTGGTCTGAGGACAGCAGCAAAGAAAGAGGAAGTGGAAGTACTAAGCAAGACATTTATGGACTGTTCCTACTAAGCTGATTGGCTGCCCTGTTACTAGGCAGATCTGGTTGTACCTGTTATTATATTTCATATCTACATTTTTTCTCTTTCAGTTTTATATTTCTCTTTGCTGCTGAGGAATAAAGTAAGAAAGAGATAGCATAATAGGAGCCTCCGTGTCATTAATAAAATTTATCTTGTCCAAATAAGGTACTATATCATTTAGGAAGAACTGATTTGATTATTGCAACATTGTATGTCTATTTTGTAGCATCTAAGCACAGTATGTTACATTATTCCTATTCTAGCAACAGTGTACCTAATACTCTTACTATTAACTAACCAGAGGACTTGGGGCTTTTTATATTTGTTAACACTGAATTGACTTCATTTGTATTTTCTTAGTTCTTAATCTCCCTTTCTCTGGCAAATATGCAAATTATCTGTATGTGTTTTATATCAGCTCCTTGTCTTATTTTCGGTTCTACTGGTTGTTGTTTTGAAGTGGTTATTGTTCCTAAAGTCTGTAAATTCTAGTTCCTGAATCACTGCTAAACAGTTTACTTTCCATTTAGCAGCTAATTGTGCTCCCTTCCAGTCTGTAATCCAGTTTCCAAATATAATATGGTGTATGGGGAGGTGGGGAGCTAAGCTTCTGCCTTACACCATTCAAATTCATAAAAGGGATTGGGACAGTGATAGGCCGAGAGCAATCATCTAATGCTTTTATCCTATCACTGCCTGCAACCTCTGGTACAGTGTGAAGAGGATTCACCAGTTTATCATTAGGGGCTGAGCTGGATTGGACTGCCAGTGACAAGCATCTTTGCTAAAGAGTGAGTAAACTGGAACTCCAGGTGACATAACCACTTCCAAACCTGCCAATATTACAATTTTGTCTCTTCATAACAGTCATCAATGAAGTTGGTTATAGAAGGTGCAGTGATTGCCTTATATAATTCATGATTGGTGTCTAGAGTGTTTGGTATGTCTATGCTTGGAGTAACATCTTTACAAATATAAGAGGTAAAATATGTGAAAGTGATAGAAGGCATGACAGAGAGAATGACAAAGAAAAAAGTTAGGAGGGGACCTAGCATCCATCCCTGATGAAGTGTGTAGAGTTGTGTTTCCCCAACATTCCAAGAAATGACAAATTGACAATAAAAATTAGAACACAAAGTTTGAAATTTGAGTTCAGTGGGGCCCGAGCACCCTGCGGACCCCTGCGACCAGGGTGCCTGACAGTCATGTATTGTGGTCCTGGCCCGCGTGGTAAAACCGCCTGGGCCACGCATTCAGGGGTCCATGGGGTGGCACGTGCTGTTACGGCCACCCGATGCTATGTATTGTGATGAAGTCAAAGTCCCGGAGGAAATGAGTGCCTTGGTCACTCCTTGGTCATCACGTGGGAGGCAGAGGAGGAGACGAGGGTGTCAGAGTGGGAACCCTGACTCCCATCAGCTTGAGCCACTGGGCTCCATGGAAGTCACCCTCCTGCACCTAAAAGGTAGGAAACAGAAGGGTGATTAAACCATTTTGCATGTGTGTGTTTGTGTATGTGTGTATGTATGTGTGTGTGTCTCTGTAAGTATGTGTGTGTCTCTGTATGTATGTACGTACGTGTGTGTCTCTGTGTGTATGTATGTGTTTGTCTATGTATGTATGTGTGTGTCTATGTTTGTGTGTGTCTCTGTATATATGTATGTGTGTGTGTGTCCCTGTATATATGTATGCATGTGTGTGCCTCTGTACTAATGTATGTGTGTGTCTCTGTATGTATGTGTGTGTGTATATCTGTATGTGTGTGTGTCTGTATGTATATCTGTTTGTCTGCTTTTGTATCTGTATATCGGCAAATCCGTATGTCAGTGTGTGCCCTCTGTATATGTATGTGTGTTACTGTTTGTATATGTCATTCTGTGTATTTGAATGTTTGTCCTTAAGCAGTGGCGTACATACCAGGGTCGCAGGGGTCGCGGCTGCGACCGGGCCCGGCCCACCAGGGGGCCCGGCCACCCCTGCAACCCGGTATGTACCCACAGGGCCAGCCTCTTCTCCTGGGGGGCCAAGGAGCTGGCCACCTCAGGGCCCCCCCGAGGCTGGCCCTGCTGACCCCAGCGGGTGGGCTGGCTGTCTGGGTGGCCGGCGCGCGAGGGAGCCCCAGGAGCCCAGCAGCACCACCACTGGACCCTAGGGAATCCCCCCAGCACCCCAAAAGGTAAGGAGGCTGGGGGGATTCAATTTAAAAAAAAATGTGTTAGTGTGTGTGTGTGTTAGTGTGTGTGTGTGTTAGTGTGTTAGTATGTGTGTGTGTGTTAGAGTGTGTGTGTTAGCGTGTGTGTTATTGGGTGTGTCTGTTATTGGGTGTGTCTGTTACTGAGTGTGTCTGATGTCTGTTAGTGAGTGTGTGTTTGTCAGTGAAAGTGTATGTTTTGTAAGTGAGTGTGTATGTATGTCTGTCGCTGAGTGTGTCTCTGTCAGTAAATGTGTGTGTCTGTTAGCTAGTGTGTATGCGTCTGTTCGTGAGAGTGTGTGTCTTCAGCATTTACCTTTCTCCAGTGCTGGACTTCCTTGCTGCTGGGGATCCCTCCGCCTCTCAGCTCCGAATGCACATGCGCGGCAAGAGGCGCGCGCGCATTTAAAACGCCCATAGGAAAGCATTACTCAATGCTTTCCTATGGACGTTCAGTTTCTTCTCACTGTGATTTTCACAGTGAGAATCGCGGAATCTCCTCTAGCGGCTGTCAATGAGACAGCCACCAGAGGCTGGATTAACCCTCAGTGAAACATAGCCGTTTCTCTGAAACAGCTAAGTTTTCAGCTGCAGGGTTAAAACTAGAGGGACCTGGCACCCAGACCACTTCATTGAGCTGATGTGATCTAGGTGTCTGTAGTGGTCCTTTAGGTGTGTGTGCAGCATACCGCGGTCGCGGGGTCGTAGCCCTGCGACCAGGTGCCCGCCGCCATGTGTTGTGGCCCCGACCCGCGCCGAGTAAGCGCGGGGGGGCCACGGATCAATTTTTGCACCGGGGCCCCATGGGTCATGTGTACACACTGTCCTTAAGTGTTTGTGTATCTGTCTGTATGTGTGTCTGTGTATCCGCATGTGTGTCAGTGTGTGTCTGTGTATCTGTACTTGTGTCAGTGTTTGTATCTATTGGAGTGTCATTCTGTGTATCTCAAAGTGTGTCATTCTGTGTGTCTTTGTATCTGCATGTGTGTCTGTGTGTATATATGTGTCTATGTATCTGTGTGTTAATTTGTGTGTCTGCATTTGTGTGTGTGTATGTGTGTCTATGTATCAGCATGTGTGTCCGTGTATGTATCTGTATATGTTATATGATGTGTTTCTGCATGTATGCCAGTGTGTGTTTGTATATCTGCATGTGTGTCAGTGTATTTACCTGTTTGTCTGTGTAACTGTCACCCCACCACACACACTGTCACCCCCCTTCAACCTGCCACACTCACAATAACTCCCCAAATCCTGTCACTCACACATGCCATACTCCCTTCCCCTCGCTCACCTTCTCTCACACTGTCATACTTACCCCCCAATCCTGTCACACTCTTTCTCCATCCCTCTGTCACACTCACCCCCTTTCACCCTGACACACTCACCCAATTTCATTAACCCCTCTACTTCAGTCATACTCAACTCCCCAACCATGCTACACTAACCCTGTGGGTCGTTAATGAGATTCATGGAGGGACTGAGGGGCGTGAATGTGACACATGGAGGGGCTGGGGTGGTGAAACATATGTGGGGGCCCAGGGTAATTTTCGCACTGGGGTCCCGTGGTTTTTAGTTACACCTCTGTGTGAGCGTATGGAGGGAAGAATGTTACATTGTTTGCCCGATCACTGTGCTCCACGGTATTCTTAAATATATTCTAACCAATGATGTCTTTGGACTGTTCCTCCTTCGTGTTCTGTTCCCAAAGGGAATTTAGTTGTGTTTAGTTGTGACAAAGAATAGATTTTTTTTCAAATGCAATTTGAAGGTTGTGTGACAGTCCAACAACACATTCCTCGATTTTTCCAAAAAGTTGCAAGTTTAGTATCATAGTGGCTGATGTTTAATCTAACTAGGCAATAATTAATAGACTTGTGCAAAAATTAGCTTGGGCAGTTTCATCCAAATAAAATTCCTGGTGATTGCGGAATGAATTGATTCAGATTTGTCTTTACCTGTGAAGTCTATAGGTAAGATCATTTCAGAATGAATTTGTGTCAGTATTGAACAGGCATTGTATTAGGACAAACCGGCTCATATAAATCTTTGCACAAGTCTAATGATGAATCAGTTGCAAATCACATAAATGCACTACCTATGAACTACAAATTAACGTTTTTTCACTGATTGAGAAGACAAATGTTACAAGAGGTGCTGACTATTAATATTATGATTACCAGACAGTGCTACAGTTGATACAATACCTATATGGAACTGATACACTAAAGTCTTTGGCGCGAACTTAACATTGTTTCTGTGGATTATATGAGAACCAATGTTGTTTGAAATTTGGCCATTACTGCTTAATTGTTACAGTTTTTTTCCACTTGTAGTGCTTTTTATAAAGCTGAATTTCCTTACTGGCTAAATTGGTCCGTTTTCTGTGTGATTTATTCATTTTTTCATGTGCTGGCATTGTTTTAATTGTATCCAGTACCTGGGATCCAGCTGTATAAAGAGTAGTGTGATTACACTGATCATTAAAGCTGAGGAAAGTTATGTGAGCGAAACGTTGCTTAAACATGTTATGTACATGAAGCTGAACGAATACTTTATGATGTACTTGGCTGAAGTTAAGAAGTTGCAGTGGTTGAGTTTCTCTCTTCGGTGAAAGAGGGAATGTGCAATCTATTGTTTCCTCAGACTGATGGAGGTTCTATGTACACTTGCTTTTTCTATTCCCCCCTTATGTCAGATAGGGGATGGATGTAGACAGGGATTAGTGGATGCTACTCTCAGTCTTTATTAATAGGCTAATAAATCCCTGTGACGGTAGTCACCATCACCTGGACCTTCAGACAGACTATTTATGTAGGACTGGACTTTTCTTATGTTTTAGTCACCCTGTACTCATTATAGGTGCAGGGTGTGTGTAATTATTTATAATGTGTGTGTGTGTATACTGTTAAATGTTTTGTCTGCTCTCCTGTACTGCTGAGGATTGCTATCAACTAGGTGGATTGGCTATGAAGCCCGTGTAGTGCCCGCTGTTGGTAGCAACTGCAAAATGCACTACCTGAATAGTAAGGCTGGTAAATTTGCACATTCAGGTAGATTTGCATATGGCTAAATTCTGCAGGCAGGAGAGACATTTTCTCTTGATTATTGTCTTCCCCACCCCTTTATAAATATGTCATTGTGTTATAATAAGTTGCTATGTTGTCTGCTATGAATTGACTGTTTGTATTTTTATTCAGTTGTCACAGCAATCTTTATGTAATAATCGTATGGGCTTGTCTGGAGAAAAATAAAGTTTTGACTGTCAGTTCATTTTAGAACTTGTGTCCTGTATGGATTTGTAGGGATCCTTCTAGTCCTGAGATAAAGCAACAGAGCTAGGCCTGAGAGCTGCAAATGTCTTTTTAAAGACAAGAGCTATAACATTGCAGGAGGATGTGGAAACCTGCCTGGAAGAAGGGCTGTAACAGAAGAGGCAAAGGGGACTACACCTGCCTGGAAGAAGGGTTGCAGTGTATGAGGAAGAGGGGACGATAACTGCCTGGAAGGAGAGCTGCAGCCTGGTTGGGTGGAGAAGCTCCTGAAGGACCTCAGTCAAGCTTTGGCAACTGGGGCTGAAGTGTTCCAGGGTCCCTGCAAGCGGCTAGGAAGCAGACTGAGTGGAGGTACTCGGTCGGAGTACAGGATCACAATCACTTTCAGGGATATTGCTGAAAAATGGAGTAGACAACCTTCAGCACTCCAGATGTTGTGGACTAAATCTCCCATAATGCTTGTCCGCAACATCTGAACTGCCAAACGGTTCCTACCTCTGACTTAAATGGATACTCTAAGCCCCATAACCACTTCATCTCATTAAGCCTCATCAGGGGACCTCAAGCATTATAACTACTTTAAATTAAAATATCCTTCCTCATCTAACCCATGGTACTGAAATGTTAATTAAAAAGGTTAGGCGATTTGTGGGTTAATTGGCAATCTAGCAAGATTATGTCCTAGGCTTTGTTCTCTATCTTTGCACCTACCTGGGGATGCTGTGTGCAGTTTTCTCATTATTTAATGTATGTCTCAGAGGAATCAATAGGAAAGGAATTAAATGGTTCTGTTTGTTTGCTTGTTTGTTTTCTGTTGCCCAGTATGTTATTTGACCAAAATACATTTTTTTGTACCATAAAGATTCCTTTTTCATAGGTATTCAATGGCATAATATGGTCACTTTATATGAGAGTTGTGCTAATGCTTGTGAAGGTAATAAAAACTTTTTCATTCAGTTTAGAACAACTGACCTTTTATTTTTTTCATGGGGTATGGACAGAAATATCATATGATTCAAAAAAGTTTGTATAAAAATATTTTAAAAAGCACTGCACCAAAATATAAATAATAACATCTCCTTTCCAGTTCTTCGGTGTATTTTAATGTACAAACAAAAGGAGGAATACGCACTCTTATTTCATACTGGTCCTGGTGCATCCAGATTGGGGCTGGCTAACCCCACTCCAATGGTAAAATAAAAAATATAGTCCAGGCACTCAGGATCACTTGTACAGCAGCTTTATTGGAAAGACATGATAAACATGCAAAGCTTAGATATCAGCTGAGATCTTTTTCAAGCTAAACTAAGATTGAACATGAGCTCAGTTGAAAACGAAACGTTATATATATATATATATATATATATATATATATATATATATATATATATAGTACGGTACATACCCCAAAAAGTTGTGGTGGGGAAAAAAATGTGGATGAAAACACCTTCCACCTAACGTAAGTGAATAGTTAATACTTTGCTAAACACAAATACACACCAGTCAAGCCATAAGACTTGCTTTTCCCACAGAAATCTCACTTTAACAGTGCTCGCACTACTGCAAGGGATTATGGGTAGGCATGTGCAAATGAGCTCAAGAAAGAACCATATTTTTGCCTCATAATTCCACTATATATAAAAACTTGGTTCTTTGTTGAGCTCATTTGCATACGCCTACCCTAAATCCCTTGCAATAGTGAGAGCACTGTTAAAATGAGATTTCTGTGGGAAAAGCAAGTCTTATGGCTTGACTGGTGTGTGTATTTGTGTTTAGCAATGTATTAACTATATATATATATATATATATATATATATATATATATATATATAATCAGAAACAATTTACAGTTATAGACAGGTAGGAGTTTGAACCAACCGGAATTGAGATGAGAGATAAAGGAACATGTATATATATGTATTGAGTTGCTTGGTAAAAATATTGTGTCAGTCTCAAATTCTGCTTTTAGTAAATTCAATGTGGGTCTGTGTAAAGTAATGCCCAGTACCCTTGTATTTTAATTTTATTTTTTTAAATGCACATTTAAATCACCTGGTTAATAATCTGATCATGAAGATGATAATACAATTATGGTGCTAATTGTTAACAAATATTGACTCAATAAATGTGCTAACAAACAATACACAGAATATATGCTTGTTATACAGTGCAGATGAAAAGTGACCTTTTCTTGTAGTCTCAGAGGCTCATACCTCATTTACCGGCTGCACTGAATCCTCTATGCACCTAATGCTGTTGTGTTGCTGAATTACACCAGGGACCCACTAGGAAGTGACAACCCACATCTAAAACCAGTGTCTGGAGGGTACATTGAGAGAATTAAACAGGTACATAGAGCCGATATACTCCTGTTTGCTAAGGCTTTGTTTACTAAACAGTGCTATGTTGAGATGGCACCTTGCAACATTCAGACCAAATTAACCAGGCTGCTACAATAGATATGCGATGTTTATCATCTCTGAAATTTTCAGTGAAATTCTACCAAGCAGTATCAATACTACACAACTCAACAATCACCACTAAATGAAGAACCGTGCATTTTTGTTGACCCATTTATCTTGAACAATATTTAACCCCTCCCCCATCTCCCCCCAAATGAATAATAATAACCTTCATATATAATCATCAAGGTATTGCGTTGCTTGGTAAATCTGTCAAAAGTTTTATAAAGAAAAACCAAGATAAATCTGATATATGTTTTCAAATTTTTTAAATCAAGGTCCATCAAGTATAATATTCTCTGCCATCTGGACACAACCCTTTTATAAAACGCCATATCAAAGGCTTGAATCATTGAATTTCACGATGTGTGAGCAAAAAAAAATTATATAGAAAAAAAGCTTTCGTTTCTCTCGACATGTAATATTAGTAAATAATTAACTTACGTTTTAATAATAAATTATTCTTTTTTTTTTTAATCATTCTAATAATGATATAACCGGCACATAAATCTCTAATGTTAACGCGTAGTAAATACAATATATCAAATATATTATATTATTTACTAAAAATATGATATGCAGAAAAAAACATATATATATATATATCACATACATACAAGTAGAAAATCTCACACATCTAAATAATAAAAGGATTGCAAAGAGACAAACATTACAGTACTAATTATTTAAACACAGAATCACAATAATTAAAATTATATAACACACACGCACATAAGCAGCATTTCACATACATGTTTACTACAGATTTTTTTAAATAGAGATCAAGACACGAACATAGTATCACATACACCTACAAATATGTGTACACAAACACAAGCCACAAATACACACACAGTACGGTTTATTTAACACACACACACACACTAAAAGTATTAAATCAACACACATTCGCACCGACAGTATTACATTGTTTCAACACACATACACACATACACTATCAATATTACATTTACACATACTCTAACAATATTAAACTGTTTAACACACTCAATGGCAGTATTAAAATATCACACACTAACAGAATTAAATGTAATCACACAGTAACAACAGTACATTTACACACACTAATAGTAGTAAACTGTTCCACTTACATACACCCGCTTAATAACACACACATTAACAATTGAAATTGTTTAACACGCACACACACACACACACAATATAGAATGAAATATGCTCCTGTAGTAAAAATAATATTTACAGATCACTGTATTAATCGGTTTTAAAAAAATATATATTTTTGTTATCATTAGAAATAGTCTATAGACTAAAGAAGTCCTATTGCTGTGTGTCAATATGCCCACAAGCCATATATAATAACCCGGTTACATAAGTCATAGAGTGGCTATTCTTTAATTAATCAGTCATTAATATATATTTATTTGGTTTACAGCAAAAACAATGTAAAAAATAGTTAAGAAAGCACAGTCCCCGCACCCCCTAACATCTTCTTAAAATAAAAATAAGTGCAATGTTTTACAAAATATATATTTTTTCACACTATTTCCAATTGTTGCAGCTAAGAAGCCGAATAGATGTGGCCGAAACGTTTCTTATAAAATGGATTTAGTCATCAAACGGCAACTTGCTAAAATTCATATCAAAATAACCAAGTTAAAAGAAATATTCCATCGAAAATTTGCAGGAGATTATATATATATATTTCACATTGGTTATTTTGGATTCAGTATTATTAGTTGTTTGTCATCTAAACATTTGCTTTTTAGTATAAGCATCATTGATAACGTCTGTTTCATTTCAATGGAATAATGTATATTACATAATGTATATTACATTGTTTTTATGACAGAATACAAAATACAGTACAAAAAGGATATTCACAGTTACCCTATAGTGTTAAAACGCTTATGTACATATCACAAAGCATAATTATTATACAATACAAAAAATGCTGTCTTTATTTTGTCCCATAGGGAAAATTAAAAAAAGAAAAAAAAGAAAAAGAAAACAGCTAAAAAAAGACATTTAGTTGGTCAACTATTGCAGCTTTCAATCCAGGTTGCATCTGATTGTACCATATAGGAACAAAAACTACAGCAATGCTGATCAGCATGAGACTGAAACCTCACAAACCCCACAGAGTACACAACTGTGGAGCAACTAGATCTAGTAATCGTGTCCAGCATCAACACAGCATGGCCCCCGACTAGGGTGACCACCTCTAGAATGTGCTCCTCAGCCACCAGGCTCCATCACCTTGATCTGTGTGTTGGGTGTTTGTGCATGGCAGTGCCACCCATTACATCAAAGAGCAGACACAAACCTTTCCATGCTGCCTGGGTATGTGGCATGTCTCAGGTAGGCATTAGAGCCACCTAGCTGCCCATTGGTGTTGTAGGGAGTCAGTGAGGTGTACTGTCCAGGAGACATCCTACCGTACAAATCCATGGTCTCACTGTTCATGGCAGGGGAGGTTGGCATGGGCAGCCTACTGGATGTCCCAAACAGCTGTGAATTCCCGTGGGCATAGGAGCTCTGATTCATTGGCAGATGGCTGTTAGGAACTGGATAGGAATAGGCCACCGAGTTGGCTGACCTTGGATGCATGGTGCCTCCACCTGCCTGACTATTGTAGCTTGCACTCCCATAGGTACAGGAACTGGTGGAGGATGAACTAATCTCAGGGCTGATGGACCTGTTTGCCTGCTGACCAGACTCGGGTCCGCTGGGTGGACCTATGAGTGTATTTATGCTGAACACCCTGGACTGGCCTGTGCTGAAGGCTGGTGATGACGATGGGTAGTACACTGAGGAATGTGGTGTGATCTGCTGGCTGTAAGTAGGGCTCATGGCCACGTTGGGGTACATAGAGTTGTGGTAGGTGGGCCTGCCAACTTGAATAGCCGAGAACATGCTAGTGTCATGGATGTAGGCTGGGTATGTGGTTAGGTCAGTTCTCTTGAACCTTTTTCTTCTCCTCAAGAAGCTCCCACTGTCAAACATGTCTTCTGCATTGGGATCCAGAGCCCAGTAATTCCCCTTCCCTGGCCTTCCTGGTTCCCTGGGAATTTTAATGAAACAATCATTCAGAGTCAGGTTATGTCTGATGGAGTTTTGCCATTTTTTTGAATTGTCCCGATAAAAGGGGAATCTCTCAGTTATAAATTTGTAGATTCCACCTAAAGTGAGCTTCCTGTCAGATGAATGGGTAATAGCCATGGCTATTAGGGCTATGTAGCTGTAGGGTGGCTTGCCTCTCTGGAGAGGTCTTTTCCTCCTTCTTCCTTTGGGGGTTTCATCAACGTCAGGCTGCCCATTGGAAGAGACACTTGTTTCACTTGGATCCTTCTCCACTTTAACCACTGGTATTGAGAAGCCACTGGCTTGTTGGAGGTTGGTGCCAGCCCCCGTGGCTCTGCTGGGAGACTGTTGGCTTTCCGCTGTCATCCCAATTTAATCAGATGTTCCTAGGTCTTTACGTGTGTGTGATTGTCAAATGTCCACTTCGTGTCTTCTTGCAAATCAAGATAGTACAAATCAGAGGAGGAAGTATTAGTTCAACAGATACAATCTGCACCACTTTGTACCACGGATAAATTCAGAAAACAAAAAGGTTTTCCTTGCAATAACCCTATATTTTAGCTAATACTATGATTTATTATTTAGTGTTCTGGTTGTTCCCAGCCTTCCCTTTAATTTTTTGTATAATCCTCCAGGACCACCAAGGTAGCAGGAGATTCACAGATGACACCAAAAATCCGGTAATCAAAGGATTTAATCTCTAGTGAGGTCCACGATGCAAGGTGAGTGTCTCCTTGTCGCTTCTCACCAACAAAATAGAGAGAAGATGGAGAATTTCTTATCTTGCTCCTTGTCAGCTTTTAATGGAGATACACAGATAATCTGCACTCCTGGACACCCAGGTGGATCTGGCAATCTTTAAAACAAGCACAAACTGCATGTCAGAAAAAAACAAAACACAAGAGAAGGAGAATGGCTTCAAACATGCAGGGACCTATAGACTGACAGTGATCTGACTAAATTAATAACCATCAATAGACAGAACAATATAAATAAAAAATAAAATACAAACAAAAATTAGATTTCTGAATTATTTTATAATAATAATTATAATTATTATTATTATTATTATTAATTGTAATAAGAACATGCATGGCGATCTCTTATTATTTTTTTCCCCCTCCAACATCCACTTATGTCTCTCAGTTTTGAAAACAAAAACAAGCAACAAATATCACAGAGGTTATTATACATTATAGACGGTGGATAATATTATATAGCCTGTGATATAGAGCTTGAAGCATAATCTAAATATATGAATCTGTAATACATTGATATATGTTCTAATTATTATTATTAATATTATTATGCTTTATATAGCGCCAACAAATTCCGCAGCGCTGTACAATAGGATTACATATATTTTTTTTATTGTATGTGTTGCGTTTAAGCACAGTGAGGTCTATTCTCTAAGGATCGAGGTCTCTAAAATTGGAAAATCGAGCCTAATGCAGCCTTAGTGGAAATATCTCCCCCCAGCAATGCTGTGGGTTTTTTTTATCTCTTGCCTTTTTTTTCCATAATATCATCACGTCAGACGCCAAAAAAACTCGCTGTTTAGTAAATAGACAGCAAATATTTTCTTCAAATGCACAGACTTATACTACATCTCAATCATTTTCATCCAATAATTCTATTAAACGATTTACAATTAAATAATTGATGATGCATTTTCACATTTGAACAATTTGTGACACAATGGTGCAATACATTACAATGCATAATAAGCTTCAGATAAGTGTGGACAAATATCTCCAATAAATATCTGGATCATGGCACATTCTACTGATGGTGTAGATGGGTTCTAGTTGTGTGTGTGTGTGTGTATGTGTTGTTCCAGTGCACATGATAAAGCAAGGTGTCTCCTACTTACCCAGAGGACAGTAAGTGAGGGCAGCCTGTGTGTTCCTGTAAGATCTCTGGATTGTCACCTTGTTTCTTAGCACAAAGCCTTAAATAGCACAGCAGCTCATACCTGGAAATGATTGCTGCACACAGAGCTATCACAATAAGAGTCCCATGAAGACACACCTGGGGATTCCCAGTCAACCACATATCACAAAATAAAAGCCTCCCACGTTTTCAAAGCTGCCACCCACCACAGTGATTAACCCCATCGTGGACCACACAGATCTCTGCACCAATATGTGACCCAAGGACAATAAAACAACATGGTGATATTTAATACCAACAACTGATCTCTACCCTTTCTTTCTTTCTTTCTTTCTTTCTTTCTTTCTTTCTTTCTTTCTTTCTTTCTTTCTTTCTCTCTCTCTCTCTCTCTCTCTCTCTCTCTCTCTCTTTCTTTCCTTTCCTTTCCTTAGAACAAAATATCTAATTAATATAATATAATATAATATGAATATATATATTATGAATAGCTTGCAGGTTACCTTTAATCTCATCATAAAGCCACTGAATTATTAGGATTAATATTCTTGAATCCAGTGACTCTGACACAGAGGTGCGTTCGTTTCTGACAATTAAAATAATTCTGAATAATCAAATAAAAGCAAAATAATTGTTAAATTGCAAACTCTCAATAACAAATTACACGCAAACCTACATAACATTCACTAACTCTATGCCTCATTTATTGATTTAATTTGTAGTGATGTAACAAGTGGAAATAATAGATAGATTATATCTATAACTATATATATATATATATATATATATATATATATATATATATATATATATATATATATATATATATATATATATATATAAATACACTATCTATCTATCTATCTATCTATATGTGTGTGTGTATTAAACAAGCAGATCATAACCTGTAAACATTGAGATTTACATGCTGTTATTTGGCACTGCTTGTGAAAACAGTAATACAATACTACACAATAGCTGTTGGTACACACTGTGTGCTGAATCTAGCAGATGAAGGCATTTCTTGTGTAAATATTTAGCAGAAAAATACAGACTTGTTTAAATAGATCAGACATATTCAGTAAACCAGATCGTGGAGTCAGCAAAAGTGCATTCAGTTACCTGTTTCAATATGATCTGATGTCAATAAGGGCAACTTCACACGGGTAACAATACTCGATTATTAGGGAATGAAAACCAGGATGGCGTCCACACACACATATTCATTCAATAATTCAATAATCTCCTTCAGTGACATGTTAGGGATTAATTATAGAGCACAATTACAGTAGTAATTATTTATAAAATATAAACTATAATCTATCTATCTCTATCTGTCTATCTATTTATCTCTCTCTCTCTCTATCTCTCTCTCTATCTCTATCTGTCTATCTATTTATCTCTCTCTCTCTCTCTCTCTATCTATCTATCTATCTATCTATCTATCTCTATCTGTCTATCTATTTATCTCTCTCTCTCTCTCTATCTCTCTCTCTATCTCTATCTGTCTATCTATTTATCTCTCTCTCTCTATCTCTATCTCTCTCTCTCTATCTATCTATCTATCTCTATCTGTCTATCTATTTATCTATCTCTCTATCTGTCTATTTATTTATCTATCTATCCATCTATCTTCAATATCATAAAAAAATCATTTAATATGAATTCAGGTTTATTATGTAAGGCATTTTGCAGGTTAATGTTAGCTTTTTGTTATAGGTTTACAGATCACGTGTAAAGATGTTACTTTTAATTTATCGGTCTCATGTAAATTTAAAAAGTACAATCAAAACCAAAAAACATTATCATTTGTTTAAAAACAAACGAACAACCAACATAAAAAAAACCAAACCAAACCAACCGACCAACCAGTTTCTGTGTGGAATTAGATCCAGTATTCAGTAGGTAATAATAGCATTAACTGTCATGCTATAGCAATGGATTCTCTCTTAGTTAATTATAGCGATTCTCGTACTATATAATATAGTGATATGTGTAGCTATTTATTTGATGAGGTGTAATTTTACGGTGGGTTCAAATCTAATGTGTTAATTACATTTTTTAGAAATAACGATTTTGCTAATATTACATTTATTTACTAAACAGTGGCTTTTGACTTAATTGCCAAACGTGTACCCTAAAAAAACAGAGGAAGAGAAAAGACAGTTGGAGATTTTTTGAACTCACCACAAAACGCTAATTAGTGAGTATTTCCCTAGTTTATGACATTACAATCGCTGCACAATGCGGTAACAAACATATAGGTGTTCAGTGTTGGTGATGGTGACATCTCGTTATCACACAGAGCTCAGGGAGTCCGGATTTGGAATTCTGTCATAGCCAAGTTCCAATGTTTGAGTAATATTCCATATTTTAATGTACAGGTATTCATTTGTTAAATGTATATGTGTTAGCTCAGTTGCCCAGTGGCAACCTATTCAGGTAGTTTATTCTGTTTGGACAAAGAGCAGGAACGCAAATAGATTGGTAATTATCTCGATAAATGCTCCAGTCTGTGGGGTAGAGCTACAATAAGACTTATTACAGCACTGGCTGGGGGTTGGACTGATATTACACACAGGCTTGCCGAGGCCAGGCTAAGTGCTCTGTCTTTATGTCAATCCAGGTAATAATGGTCGTATTTTAACCCATTGAGTGCCAGGCCGTTATACCGCATTTACCTGCTATTTATAAACATAAGCATTATCAATGTCAGCATTGCGGCCAAAATAATTAAATTCACCTGATGAAATATTCCTGATTGAAAATGAATTAAATATTAACCCTTTCAACAGAACACATCATTGTTTGAAATGATCTGAGCCATGGCATCTCCTTATTGCTAACATGCCCATTGCATACTGCCCCACTCTGCCTTCATGCATACTGTGTTGGTTAAAAAAGGAACTTTAACACAATTCACAAAGGTTTTTTATTTATTTATTTTAAAATTTATTTCCATGCATTTCTGGCTGCTTATAACATCCTGGCTTCATATTCCACCCTGACTGCATATTACACCGGGTCTGCATATTACAATATTACATCATGACTAAATATTACACCCTTGGGCTTTAAATGACATCCTGACTGCAGGTCATGAGAAAATCTACACAAACATTGACACTTGTTAGTTTTCGTTTCTTTTTCACTAGCCTTGTACTTTCTTGGTTCATTTTAGAATTATATGTAACAACCTTCCTTCTCAGTGCAAGTATCATACGAGACAGCCATTTATACATAATCAAAATCTATAACATGGAATGTAAGTCTACTACATGTTATTCTACATCTACAGAGTCTAATTTTCAATGGAAAGAACACACCTCAGAGATTACAGGGTCATTCACCAGAAAGAGAATCTGAGGTCATTCAAAGTGAATTTCAAAATTAAAGCCAACATAGCTGAATCAGAAAAAATGATGCTAAAATAGCCTTAACTTTGAAATTCCCTTTAAATTGTCCCTTTAATAGTGAAAACCAAAATAAATCAAGTCAAAATAGCCACACTGAAAATTTAAAAACAATCAAAAGAACTGTGAAATAAATCCAAATGGAAGAACTACTTTGAATTAACTTTAAAATCCAGGTAATTCACATTGAAGGTGTTTAGTAAAGAATTAGGCAGCTCATTCCAAATTAGCTTGATCTAATGGGAGTGATTGGTTCCAAACTACATAGCTGAATTTTAGTAAGTAGGCTTGTTTTTGACAGATGCCAGTCACCTCCATTCAGTTAAGATGATTCTTTCTCTGCTACATGTGAACTTGTATTCCTTTCACTCTTTACATTTCTGCCTGTCAATCATGCAGCTTACCTGTTCAAAACATTTCCAAATAATGCAGGCATGTTGATGGCTACATTTATTCTTAGAGTTCTTACGTATTAAGCAGCCCCTGTTCACATACTTTTAAGGAGACAAGTTTCTCATCACTAGAGGTGACTCTTGTCAACACACTATCAATTCACCTCTTGTTTTCCTTTTTTTTCTTTCTTAATTTAAACCTGCAGACATTTTCAGAATTCAAATTTAGAATTTAAAGGCACTTGCTTTATATTTCTACCCTTCCACCCAGTTTACCAGAATAAATGTTGTTAAATGCTTGCTAGTCACATTGATGGGATCTAATTATTATTATTATTTTTTTTTTTTTTTAGCCTAAATAGATAAAGATATTTAAATATAGTGTCAGTTTTTTTTTCTCAGATAATAGTTCATTTGGTTTGCATGCAACCTCCTTGACGTTAATGCTAAAAAAACCATGTATGGTTATTCAATGTCTATAGAAGATATGTTAAATATAAAATAGGGGTTATTGATTAAAGTCCAAATATACTCTGGGTTAGCAAAAGTCATTGAGATATAGAAGTTATCCTGGATTTGTAAGTCAGATAGTCACTACTGGTAAATTCAGGCGAATTGCACCAAATGTATTTTCATGAAAGGAGTTACTATCAGCTCAGCAGAGTATAGGTGAGTGGATCCCATAAAAGTATAAATTAGGATATTTGAAAAAAAAAAAACATGAAAAAAATACTGAATTGAGGCTTGATTGTACAAAATAAATTCACCTGTGAAACTAATAAAATTTGCAGTATTTGTACATTGACCATGCAAGTAGCTAGCTGACAAATCAGAAATAAATACATAAATAAATATGTTGAAACAAATGTTCCTCTACTGCCTATTGAACTGGAGGGAACAGGACTTGTGGTTCATTTTAACTTTTCATGCAGTAGGCAGCTGTTTGAAGGTTAAATGGTTACTTCAGGCACCATGACCACTTCAGTGATTTGAAGCAGTCATGATTCTGGAGTCTGTATGTGCAGCTTTTCTCTTTGAAATGTGAAATATACAAATATTAACCTCTTTATTGCCAGAGGTGTAATACCACTTCTAGCAATGCAATTATCCAACCCAGAACAAAATTTCAAACTATTTATTAGACTTGTGCACAAACGCAATTTAGCTGGTTAAACAAATCAAATGCATTTTAACCTGCACCCAAAATGAATAGGTAAAGAAAAAAACAAACAAACAAGATAGTATATTATACATAAGACCCCAAAGGTTGAATAAACTGAACCATTAAATAAGACTCCACAGATAAATTCAA